CACCATCTTCACCTTTTTTGGATATGCATTTGCACTGTTGTCACTTTATCTATTTACCTGTCTTTGGGAATGTACATTTGCACCATTGTCACTTTATGGATTTACCTGTGCTGTTTGATTCATCACTTACATTGTTAGTATCTGCACTTTATATATCAGGAAGATTTTTTTGGATAATATCATTAGTGATTGCATTATATTTATGATTCTAGCGCTGCACCTTAATAGATCTATGGGTACAACATAGATGGTCAGTTTTTTTCATTCAGCCAGCATGATGAACAAAAAAAATACTAACAGGTTCCTCAATCCATACAAACGAGGTGGAAGACAGAATCCTCCCTTCCTGGACATTCTATTCTGACAACAGGAACCACCAATGTCAGAATACACTGATCAGCAGCTGCAGCTGCTGATCAACAAGAGTTTTCCAGTGTGTCCCTTCGATAGAAGTTGATAGAACAATTGACTTCTTATGAACAGGGGCAGCCACCTACTGATCGAAATGTGCCCGATCCCTGCTGAACTGTCCATATTTAATTTAGTGTATAGCCAACTTTAGAAATGCACCCAACTCAGGAGTCCAGTTGTAGACCAAGAGCACAGCACTTTTGTGGATTGAGTGGTGTCACCCTTGCCCAGGTTTCTTTTGCTAAATTACTTAAACCTACCAACTTCTCCATCTTTACAACATAAAAACAAATAATTTTGTAGTCCAAAGATAAGAACTAGGAGAGCTAATTACTCTCCTTGAGATAACACATAAAGTGAGCACTAAACAAAGGACAGCCCTGAATTTCTCACATAAGCACAAGTATTTTTCTTTGCACTTATTAATCAAATATAAAAAAAAAACCTCAGTGCTTTAAAAGACCAAAATGTAGCATTTAAAAGAAGTTGATTGTGAGAGTTTAGGCCCTTTGCAGAAGGGGCAGACTCCATCAAGCGTATCTGCCTGTTCAGCAGGGGATCCCTCCACTAATCCCCGCTGAACAGGCGAATGACAGGTCAATGTCTGCTTTGCTATGCAGAGTGAAAACAGACATAGCCTATTTTCTATGGGGCAGTCGGATGGAAACAGACCACCTGTCCATTTCCATCCAACTATCATCCGATCAGATCTGCTGAGTGGATGGGGAACAGATCCACATCCGTCTGTTTTTAGCGTACAAGATCGGATCTGATGTCGGTGCGTGTCAACGGGCACTTGTACACTGGATAGTTCGATCGGGTCTGCCTGAAAAACTGACAGGCGGACCCGATCAGACTGTCGATGTGAAAGGGACCTTACACTTAAAAAAAAAATATTTGTATGGCTCCTTCCACTTATGTATTGTTTTTTTGTGATTTTAAACTTCAGCCTATGGATGTCTGTGTGAGCTTTTTACATTTGTTTTATCTGTATGTATTTTAAAACAATAACCAAGCAGCAAGCCAAAGATCTGTTTCCCTGCTTGCATTCTAAAGAAAAAGTTGTTGCAGTATTTATGATCATTTTTTGATTGTTTAGATTTTCCCCAGTGACTAAATTGTGGATGTAAAAATAAGTACTAGAAATAAAGCTAATCGTAGGGAAACTGATGAAAAAAAGCATCGTTTTTACCTGCATTTTTAATCTCCTTTTTTATATGTAACAGAAAATGTCCGTGGAGAGCAATGTGTGATCTATCTGTACTTCCTATCTTTGCAATATTAATCCATACACTCCCAGTGCGGTCTCTTGCCAGCTATTTTTCTTTAGCAACACAGTTATGATCCTCCATTCTTATCTTGCCGATGTTAACAAGTGCCAACTTCTTTAGCACTTTTACTGCTGCCTTTTAAACTTCTATTTGTTTGGATTTCTTCATCTGTTAACCCCTCTACAGCTTTATTTTCCACCAAAACCAAAATACTATCCCTATTAGGGACATGAGCAGTAAGGAGTTGTCTATGAAATTCCCAGATGTGCCCGCCTGCTGCAGCCTTTATATTGCACAAAATATGGCAGCGGGGGGCACCTGTTGCGGTGAAACCACATGGTGTGGAATGGGGGGATCCAGTTGATAACTGGTTCATTAGGTTCTATCCCTAACTGAATAATGAAATGTGGTGTAAATTGGATACATATTCATTAAAGCTGAAATTTGGGTAGATATAAAAGATACATAATTTTGAATCTCTGTAAATGTAATTTATTTCTGCTTTGATACATCATTAAGTGTATTTTTAAATGCAAGCAGTGTAAGTGGCTGAATTTGACCTGTTATCAACCCAATCCCTGTACAACAGAGCTGAAGTGTGAGAGGAAGAAGCAGTTTAAGGAGCAAGTCAGTTCATAACCTAACAAGAAGCTTGCTGATAGGAAGAGAAAGCAGAGTGATGAAGAGAGGAGCTCATCACAGTGCCCAGTACTGCCCAGTAACATGCTCTCCAGGACTCTCTGGGCATTCATTAGTGATTAATATCAGGATGGATCTTGCTTTCATAATATTACCAATCTTTTTTTTCTGTAAGCTAGATTTCTTTTGTTCATGCATTTATTCATTCACTTCCATTCATATCTCTGCCTTTTCTGATAGTTTTAAGGCCTTGAAATAATGGCTCTAAAGACTTAAAATGTTACTAAACCCACAACAGTAAAATCAATCTGTATATGCAGTAAATCATGCTTGTCATACTCACTGTGGAACCTAAGGGGTTAATCCTCTGCATTGTGTAAAAAGGATGTTTGATCCTGTTTTCTCCGATCCTTCCCTTCTTCTGCTGTCCCCAATCCATCTCCTGATAACACAGGGCCTTGGGGGCAAGCTGCATATGCTCAGTTTGGTGTGTATTGCTAGTTGTTGTTTTGTTGGGAGAGTGCATGTGATCAGCAAAGGGCAAATCAGCACTGTCCAGACTGAAGGTCAAGGGTCCTGCAGCCTCATAGACAATCTGGAGAAAATGAAAACTACCCCTGTAAGCTTTAAGCAGTGCTCTGCTGGACACTGATAGAAGTCACAAGACTGCTCTAACTGCTGATTAGAAAAGGTATTTATCAGTTTATATTTACAAATATAATTGCATTTCCATGTGCTGTGTACTGTGGGAGACCAGATATAGTGACAGCTGGGTCCTGGGTTTAGTAACACTTTAATTGGTCTGAGAAGTCAAAGATTCTAATTTTGAGCCCCGTTATAAAGGACCATGTAAACTGACTTTTTATTGTTTTATTGTTGGTAACCTTTATCTTTTGTTCATACAGTCCTTTTTGTTTGTTGAGTCATTCAAGAATTCAAGCTTCAGAGCAAACCAGTTCTCTTGCACTTCATCTGTTTATCATTTTTGTTGTCTAATGTAAGCAACCACACCAATTGTTTTTTAATGGAGTTGGAAATTACTTGTAGCAGTGATGGAAGAAACTACAACTGTCAAAATACTATATAATACATTGTAGAACATTATAATTTCTATCATCTAAGTTTAAGTTAGCAGCACGTTTACTGTACTCTGAGGTATACGTAGGGTAGATGCATATGTTATGCCCTTGTTTTGAATGCTGAATTTGTAATGTGTTAACTTAGTACATAAACAGTTTGTCAATGTGTTGGAATTCAAGTTCCAAAAATTACAAATATTAAACTTCCCACTGCAGAGACTAAAGGTTTATGTAGTTAACATTACATTATGCTTCTACAAAGGACATGTAACGTAATCAAATTATGATAAAGTGGATGTGTTTTTTTATTTTTGGAAAGAGTAGGAAGAAGTTTAAACTTCTTTCAAGTTTTTTTTTTTTTTTTTTTTTATTGTTGAGGCAGTAATTGAATCTGAACTTCAAGAGCCACACTGAAATGTTTGAGTCTGAAATTAAGTATTATTATAAACATCAATTGGGTGTAGAAACCGGTGTGTTTTGGCCAGGCATCGCTCCCTTCATCAGGGACTATGGAGATGTGAGGACAGTTATTTTTAACCTGAAAATAGTACAGTTTCAAAATTATAGAGTAAAAAGTGGGACTTCCAACGGCGCATAAACTTCCTAAAAAAGAACATAACACTTTATAGGAAAAAGTGTGTGTATGTATGTATGTATGTGTGTGTGTGTATATATGTATATATATATATATAATATTTTTGTGCATATCTTATAAAAATCACAAAAGATCAGCACTGAAATATTGAGAATGAAGAAGATTCTCTAACAGTGAGGTAAGTATTCAGCAGGAGATGCGTCCCACCACATATTGCAAGATATTGCAAGGAGCTTCTTCAGGGGATCTGGGCACTGATGATAAACCACATGCAAGCAGTATGATACATTATATAATACTAGAATGCATAAGTACCATGAGGTAATATTGCAACCTAGTTTAATAACACAGTGTTCCCACTTTAGGAAAAGAAAATTGGCGAAAATAATACATTTTCTATATCAGCAGAGAAACAATCAGCAACTGGTTTTGCAGAACGCAAGAAGATTATAGTAACCCCTCAGTGCTCCGAAGCTGCCTAGATAACATCCAAATGCTAGATGGGGACACTAAAAATTTAATATTTACAAATTAACATAAGCATTAAAGTGTCACAGATCATTACTACAAGGATGCAGTGCCATCAATCGACCACTTTAAGTTTGTTTTGTAGTCTGTGTTCCTAGGTAGTGTTGCCCTCTCTATGGTCATTGCAAATCCAAAATGTGTTACCAAAACAAGGGGTAAGGATAAATATTCCAATAAAAACACTTGTTACAGTGGCAACTGTCAAAAATGAAAACTTCCCTCTATTTGGTGAGATATCTTCTTACCTCCTGTTGTATCTCCAGAACAAGAACCGAAGGAAATATTCCCAGCTGGGCACAGAAAAAAAAGACAGGGGTTTTAACTTATAATTTAATGTAATATATATATATATATATATATATATATATATATATATACACACACAATTTAGGAACAAAGCAACGCTTTCTGCAAAACCAAACTTATTTTTCTAGTGAACCCATGCTTCTAACTGCCATTCATACATACACTATATTGCCCCACATGCCCATTGGATTGCCAGACAGAGAAGCATGATTCATCACTCCAGAGAACATGTCTCCACTGCTCTAGAGTCCAGTGGTGGTGTGCTTTACACCACTGCATCCAAAACTTTGCATGGCACTTGGTGATGTAAGGCTTGGATGCAGCTGCTCGGCCATGGAAACCCATTCTTTGAAGCTCTCTATGCACTATTGTTCTGCTAATCTGAAGACCACATGAAGTTTGGAGGTCTTTAGCAATTGACTCTGCAGACAGTTGGTGACATCTGCACACTGTGCACTTCACAGGTGCTGACCCCACTCTGTCATTTTACATGGCCTACCACTTCATGGCAGAGTTGCTGCTTTTCCGAGTTGCTTCCACTTTGTTATAATACCACTAACAGTTGACTGTGGAATTTTTAGTAGCAAGGAAATTTCACGGATGGACTTATTGCACAGGTGGCAACCTATCACACTTGAATTCACTGAGCTCCTGGGAGTGACCTATTTTTTTCACAAATGTTTGTAGAAGCCGTCTACCTGCCTAGGTGCTTGATTTTATTTTATGAGCATCTCACCTCTTGTGATGCAATAAAAACTTCAACTGTTTTGCTGTGGAAAATCTGTGCTTTCGATCAGCATGTTTTAATGGAAGAAGAAGGTATAACTAAATTACACTATTTAGACAGAAGTCTTAATTACTTTGCAGTTACTGACCAGAATTGATCACCAGCTGTCAATCAGGCAGCCATTTGGATCCCGACAATATTGTTGGGATCCTTCACAGCTTGGAGCAGCTCTGCCACATCAGGTGATAGCAGTTAGTAGTAGTAAGTGCACTCCTGTAACCTAAAGGATGGCCAAAAAGGTTTGGCCATACTTCTCTTTTAAGAACTCTTGAATAAAGGTCACATTTTATAAGGGTTCAAGATTTGGAATGTATATTGCTGCTATCAAAACAATGCTTTCCAGGTGGACAGGAATTTTTCTTTAAAAATTTTACAGTCATAGGGGCTGATGACCACTATTTCAGAGAAAATTGGTGCAAACATGGAGAAATTGCCCAAAGCAACCCGTATAGTTTTACCCTTTCAAGGAAACAAATAATAATTGGCGGTTTTGTAATTTTTTTGTATTTTGCTTGACACTTGTAATTTTTTGGCTATACCATATCTAAATCTTGATGTAATCATTAGAATAACAAACAAACTGAATATTATCTCTTCCAACCTTTCATGAAATAAAATCTTTACATAAACCTGTGTTTTGGGGTTTTTTTGCACTGCAGTGTTCATGATATAGAGATGAGCTTGTGCGCAAAAGCATTTCAGCTTCTACACATTTATTAGGGAGTTCAGCTTTGCCCGGAAGAATGAGGCAGAACAATCACATTACAGCTAAAATAAATGTTGCAGAGATGCTTGGCTTCCATGGCCATCTGCTTCACTGTAAATTAAATGAATCAACATTTCTTTTGCAATAAAACACGTCAAATAGAAACAAAAATAGTTTGATATGAAATCAAGTTCACTCGCAACAGGAAAGAACACAGTTTTATAGTCTATTTCATATTCTATTTTACTTAAGTTAATCTGACATTGTACTTTTTGTACCGCATTTTATACTATCACAGCTGAAAAGAGATCCTCATTAAAATTAATCTGTTTCTTTATGACTGTGTACATTGCAAGGAACACAAACATTAAACAATCAAAATATGGTTGCTATTTCCCAATTAAAAGGTGCATTCTTTTCCCCTCAAGTCATTAATTCATACCTACCTTTGTGATTTGAGGCTGAGATTCTGTCTGACATCCATTCACACTGTCTTTCTTATTGCACTGATCTGAATTTCTTTGTCGATGAATATATGAACCTTTCTGAAAAAGTGATTAGGCAAAAATTTATTGAGGCAAATTTTATTCCACAAGCAATGTTTGGTTTGTAAACGTGTTTAAAAATTAAATGCAGCTCCAACAAAAATCCTTTATTCACCATCTCTTCTCATCAGTTTCCTTTTCAGTAAACTTACAGGCCTACCTGCTGTTTCCCACCTAAGGTGTATTTTTCTTTTGTTACATTATTAATGTTCTGGTACTGACATCTAGTGGTTGTTCAATGCCACTATAACTTGTTTATCCCTCTATTTGGTATCACTCTGTGTTCTCCCCTCCTATTTATTTATTACAGGTACTGTACTTATATAGTACCATCAATGTACGCAGCACTTTTACATGTATTGTTCACATCAGCCCTTAACCCTCAAGAAGCATACAATCTAAGGTCCCTAACTCACATTCATATACTAAGGCCAATTTTAGATAGGAGCCATTTAACCTATCATGCCTTTAGAGTGTGGGAGGAAACCCATGCAAGCACAGGGAGGACATGCAAACTCCAGGCAGGTAGTGCCCTGATTGGGATTTGAACCACTGACCCTAGTGCTGCCAGGCAGACGTGCTAGCCACTTAGCCACTATGATGCCTAATTAGTGTTACTTAGTTTAGTTCTATCTGGATCCTCTCTACTTCTTCCATGTTCCCCTAGTCAGCCTTAGTTGTCACAGCGACAAGGTTTAAAATGTAATTTGCGGAGATTTACTAAAACTGGAGCGTACAAAATCTGGTGCAGCTCTGCATAGAAACTAATCCGTTTCTAGGTATTATTGTCAAAGTTTAATTGAACAAGCTTACATTAGAAGCTGATTGGCTACTATGCACAGCTGCACCAGATTTTTAGTGCTCCAATTTTAGTATATCTCCCCTATTGTCTTCTTATTTTTCAAAAGACTGGGAAAACATCCTCTGCAGTGTATGTATCTGAAGTAAAATTGTGTTGGATTCAACTTCTGTCTTGTTGAAGAGTTAAGCTGACCGTGAATGGTACCAAATCAGTAAATGGCCATACTATCTGCACAGACTGGGTCTAAGGAGGTTTGGCATTGGATAAAATGGCATTTTAAACAGAACACTACCTCCAAAGATATCCTAACTTTGATGTGCTCGAGGAGTTTGTTTGGTTCGGTGATCCTGAGAGCTATAGCAAAGGTTGCATAACAGTTGGGCCACCCAACAAGGAAGGTTTGGGATGATGACCCTGAAACCTTGACACAGTGGTCTTACAGTAAAGGTTGGGGGTTGAGTAAACAATCCTATCCTGAGAAAAAATATAAATGCTGTGTGGCCTAAGATTAACCATTTAAGAACTGCTCTATAGCAGATATACTGGTACAGAGCAGCCATGCTGTCCAAAATCATGTATATATATGTGATTTTGCATTTCTGAGTTGGGAGCACACACCGTCCTGCTCATGTTGGCATTGGCTTCCGGAGATGTCAATCACCGGGTCCATGTCAGCGATTCATGGCTGGGACTCGGTGATCAACAGAGATGCTGACAGGGGAGAGATCTGTGTGCAAACAACACAGGTCTCTCTCCTGTCAGCAGGGACATGCTAAAGCAGAGAGATAGAAAGCAGCACGTCCTCCAGTAAAATAGCACACAGTATTCACAAAACAGCACACCATTAACCCTTTGATCGCCCTAGATGTTAACCCCTTCCTGCCCAGTGTCATTAATACAGTGCTCAGTGCTTTTCATTAGCACTGATCACTGTATTAGTGTCACTGGAGATGTCAGTGGCAGTTCATCAGTTCCCTACTCAGTGTCAATTAGTGTCAGAATGCCTGCTGCAGTTCTGCTATAAGTCGCTGATCGCCGCCTTTACTAGTATAAAAATAAATTATATAAAAATTTTAGTATATAAACCGCCATTTGTAGATGCTATAACTTTTACGTAATCCAAATAATATACACATATTGGGATTTTGTTTTTACCAAAGACATACCAGAATACATTTTGGCCTAAATTTATGAAGACATTTTATTTTTTTTTATTTTTTTATTGATTATGTTTTATAGCAAAAAGTCTAAAATTTTATGTTTTTTTGTTTACAGCGCAAAAAAATTAAAAATGCAGAGGTGGTCAAACACCGCCAAAAGAAAGCTCTATTTGTGGGAAACAAAATTACATAAATTTAATTTATGTACAGCATTGGATGACCACTCAATTGTCAGTTAAAGTAACGCAGTGTCATATCACAAAAAATGGCCTGGTCATGAAGGGGGGGGGGGGGGTATATCTTCTGGAGGGCAAGTGGTTAAAGTATATTGGAACCCTAACAATGAACTCATTTTTATTTTCCCTCTTTTGGTCTGTTATTATTGAAAGTGCTCTGCTATAAACCTTTTCATGCAAAAATTACCTTTTGATTATGTCAAACCCAGAACTGTCTAGTGTGCTTGTCCTGTGTTATCGCCAGGAGACTTATTGATCCGTCCACTTGTTATCTTGGATTACAGAACATCTAGCCCCAATGCTGTGGAAATGTGGGAAGCAGGAGGGATTTAGTGGTTTAGCAAAAGACAACTGGGCAGGGCTGACCTCATTCACTTCATACAAATGCTGTGTTTTTAGTCCACAATAAATTAGGAAATGAGTACATTCTATGTGATATCAACTGGTGTTTTTCTGTACTGGAAGGGTCTTTAGAGGGATAGTACACGGAGAAATGTGCATGTATTGCAGTGATCTATTACAATATTTTCTTACTTTGCCTTGACATACAGTTTGATGCCCTTCATGTACTACAGGGCTGTGGGGAAATTGCAGAGTAATCTGTCTTCTCAGTTCCTGTCTGGCCAAGGCTGGAGCAGTATTTACAACATGCAGTCTTCTGAGATGTATAGAATAAAAGCCATGTATATCTATAGTTCAGTACATTATTTGTTATGCCTAAGCCTGATACATGCACAACATTTTATAAGAAGTCAATGGTTTCTCACAATAGTAGTGCTTCTCCCAGGTTTTTTCTCAGAGAATAGATGCAGGTACTCCCCCCCCCCCCTTCCAAATTAACCCCCACTAACGTCCGAGTACCACCCCTCGGTTCCACTCGCTATCTACCTTCCAGTACCACCCTTTTAAAGAATACAGATCCAAGTATCCTTTTATGGTGCTAAGAAAAATTTGAATGGAATTTGTTAATGATAACAAGAAAAGCAGTAAAATAGATCCTCTGCAGCCAGCAACAATAGACCCTACCCCCCAGCAACAATAGATGCCCCCAGCAATAATAGATCCACCCCAGCAACAACAGACCCCTGCCAGGAAGGTAGGTCTCACAGCAGCCAGCATCAATAGACCCTCGGACAGTCAGCAACAATAAACCCCTCCTTCGACAGTAAATCCATCCCAGTAACAATTGACCCCCCAGCAGCAATGGATTCCCCACTAGCAACAATAGTCCTCCCTGCAACAATAGATTCCCCTTCCCCAGTGATAATAAATCCTCCAACAAGTCCCAGCACCTCTTGCTATTTAATACATTCAGTGCTGTAGTTGCCAGAACTGCATTCCCCCACATTCCTGATAGAAAAAAGTCTTGCGTTTCTCTTTT